ACTGCTCCTGTGGATTTCCCAGACTGTCTCTTTCACGGAGTAGAAAGCCTCCTCTTTCTCCTGCACAGCGACTGGTGGTTTCGAACCGCTGACCTCGCGGTGAGCAGCCCAAAGCATAACCCACTAAGGCAGTGGTTCTCAACCTCCCTCATGTTGAGACCCTTTCATACAGTTCCTCATGTGGTGGTGACCCCTCAACCATAAAATTATTTTTGCTGCTACTTCATCACTGTCATTTTGCTCCTGTTATCAATCAGGCGACCCCTGTGAAGGGGTCATTCGGCTCCCAGAGGGGTCAAGACCCACAGGTGGAGAACCGCTGCACTAAGTCACCAGGGCTCCTCTGGCTCCTATCAGTATCACTATTTTGCAGATGAGGAAACTGAGGCAAAAGGAGGAATCCAGGGAAAAGTGCAATTAATTTTCCCAAGTTATTAGCATTGACAGCACTCAGATAAATGTTAGGGATTTTTGAGGTGCAATGAATACTCCTGGCGATACCGTTATTACCCCCATTTTACCCATGAGGCAATGGAGGCACAAAGGAATGCAGTCACAGCCCAAGATGTGGCCCTGGCCCCTCCCCTGAACAGCGACACTCCACTGGCCAGGACAGCAAGCCACTGGGGCTGGAGCTTGTTTTTATCTGATGGAGAGGAGGCTTCGGGTTTGGTTTTGACTTAAAAGGAAAGCATCTTTGGCGGCGCACAGGGCCTGGGGGTTCCCAGGGATCCTCTTCCACCCCCAGGAGAGAAAGGGGAGCCGGCCACCAGCTGAAGTCCTAGGGACTTGCCTTGCCCTCCTGCCTGCCCCAGACGCCATCAGAAAGAACACTCTCCTCTGTGACCCACTGCTGTGGGTGCTGTGACCACCCGGTGCCCAGGACTGGGGCAGGCAGCTCAACCCCACCATGGGGTCCCCAACCTTGTAGCAGGGCCATGCAGCCCTTCTCCTCTCCTTCCCTGGGCTACCCTGAGCTCAAAGCATGCCTCCCCTCTCCCCTGGCCCAGGAAAGGTGACCAGAAAAGCCCCCATCACCACCACACACACACACTCCTGGGAATCAAGGAACCCCACCACCACCGCCAACAACAACAACTAAAAGTATGCGGTGTTTGCAGCAAAGCCTGGGTTGGGACCTTTCCTTCTTCCCATCTACCACCTTGGCCTCTTCCCTCCCATCCCCAGCCCTCTTTCCTGCCTCCCCGCTTTCCTCCCTCCACCTGCCCGGCCACCCTCAAGCAAGAGCAGCACATACTAGACCCCAGCTGTGGTGAGGGCCACCAGCGAGCGCGCAGGGGTCACGTGCTCCACCATGGCCCCCAGCGACCGGTTGGCCGCTCTCTGGATGAACTCGCTGGTGTTGCCCATCTTCTGCAGCAAACAGCGCGCGACCTCCTCGGCCTCCTGGTCCATGTTCTTCTTCAAGGTCCGGAAGAGGTGTCCGAGGGTGCTGATGGCCAGGCGGGACACCTTGGAGCGGAGGTTGGTGACCTTAGAGAAAGAGGGAGAGGGGCCCTTCAGGACCACTGAACCCTGCCAAGGGCTCCCCACAGGGTACCGAGAACGGGGGGGCCGTCACCTCAACAAGCCGCCTCCACCCTCAGCCTAGCCCAAGCCTTGCCAAGACGGCACAGAGAAGCCTGCAGCGCTCAGGAGTTCGCCGATTCTATCAGTTTGTGATCTGGAATGGGTCCATCAAAGCCCTTTTGCACATCGTATCCCTCTGGCCCTTTCCAAGGACTGCGGGACATGGAAGTGTGACGTCCATCGGACAGAGAAGAACCCGAGATCCTGAGGGAAATATGACCAGGATTACATTCCCTAACTTATAACAGAGGGACTCTGGAGAGCTGGTATTCCATGTAGGAAAGCCTCCACTTTGGTAAGGTAGAGATAACATGCAAGTACAGTGAACCCTCGCCACTTCGCGCTTCGACTTCCGCGGCTTC